GCTCGGATCAACAGTTTACTCGACATCTGGTTTTATTGACTTCTGGCAAATCCCTACTCACTATGATAAAAGGCACAAAATGGTGTCTCCAGTAGCACTCGCAGACTAGAGTATACCTGTATGCCGTTTGTACTTAGTAACGCCACAGTACAACTACAACAGTGGCCTAATAGGCATTTGGCTAGCCTATAAACGAGTGCTTGGTGGCAATATACAAGAACAACTGCTTTGCATCAAGCGGAACCTTTCGAAAACAACTACAGCACCTACAGCGTGCAAGTCAGTCATTGCGGTACAAGCAGCGGTGTGTAAGGGCATGCAAGTATCGCTTCGTCATAAGAAAAAATTGCTTCCTGAAACTCGATCGTTTGGCTGCTGGATTGGGCTCAATCGAGATGTTCAAAGAAATCTTGGCGTGGCACTCAATTTCACGCATCCGCAACGAAACGATGAAACGCTCTCGGGCTCGCAGCTGACTGCCGAAGCTACTTTCCGGGATGTCCTCAGAATACTGCTCTTTGAAGTAATTTATTGAAGAAAACTCAGTCTGTGTCCTGGACAGAGGAGGCTGATGCCGCTAAAAGGGCGCCTATCGGCCGCCTTACATCCCCTCTACTCGTTCTGCTCTTTCATGGAAACTGCTCTCCCCGAACAACCAATGCTAATGACATAATTGCCATCTTCTGTATGCAGACCTTGGGCTATTTAAAGCATCCAAATTGTGTTTCGAGCAGCGGCATCCAGTGAAGGAGAAGGCATTCTATTCGTCAAGTTGGAGTGTGAAAAAGCGCCAACACTATGCATTTGGGTGCCACTTTGCTGTCCAGTCAGATCATCGATCTTTAATCTACTTTGAAAAGTAGATCTAGGGCTTTAGTAGCCTTGAAGTGGTTTGCTGGCCTCAGTGTCTCCTTCAATACGCCGTTACAAAAGACTATATTGAGCATCATTAAGTGATTACTGACGCGCTCTCGAGACGCCCCAGCGATTCACTTTTGTGCAGCGGTAGCGCGCTTACTTGTAGTGAGTGATTCACAGTTTGTGTGGCGACTGCGTGGGTCGCACGCTTTCGATTCGCATGCATCTTCTACGATTTTTGCCAAAATCCAGGGTGGTCGAAAAAGGTTGATACCCTATTGCGTTGAGCATAGCCTGCTGTTGTTCAGATCAAAGGCGAAGCTCCGTCGCCTGCACATCCCGACTTTGTTCCGTAGTGCCGCTTTGCGCAAAGTGCATGTTCATGCTATCGCAGGCCATTGTTGGATTTACTGTCCTCTTGCTGGCCTGCGTTCGTCTCGCGGCAGAGGAGTATGCACTGCCATGGCCAGCTTGTCCGCAGCTAAAGCTGCCTATTCCCCAAACCCCCGCCTTCTTTATGAACTTTCGACACCCGTACAAACTTTGAGTAATTGACAATGGATCCTTTTTGCTGGACTGCCCACGTTCAGGGTCAGGATCACATCTACGTCGCTGTGGTCTTGGCAAAATATGCTTACTTCATCCCTTGTTCCAGCTGTGTCACGGTTCAGGGGCGTGGATTAATTGTTCTTAACTCATGTCTGGAAGCTTCGCAAATTTCGATCAAGTATGCTCTAGAGTTAAAAATCCAAAATGCACTGGTGTGTTCTGACGTGCTTTTCTATGACCTGCCTTCCCACTGGCCATAAGATGACCACTACGAACCGCCCGTAGGCAGACGGACATAAAGAGCAGACAGAATACTTCTACAGTGTTTGCTTCTCTGTTCGGGCAACACCCAGTTGATTGGTCTAAGGATTTTCCTTGTGCTAAGCGGGAATAAATTACAGCAGTGCAGTCCTTTACCCGTTGCTCTTCCACATCATTGGTTAGCACCGGGGGGCCCCTCTCCGACCTGGGCGTAGGACAAGCTGTCCGAGCACAGCAGCATCCCTATGCAATAGTGGACTCGAAGAATGGCTGGCAAGGCACGCAAACGGATTTGCAAACCTGAAGACAGAGAAGCACGTATTTTTACGAGCGGGGAAAAGCTGTGTGTTTCGAGTCTGCGGATCTGGTTCTGGTGAGTAGGCAGGCTTTGCGATGTGTACCAGAAGGTTCACAGACGGAGCGGCTTGCTTCCTGGTGGCTATGACCATATGTATTTCTGTCATGAATCAGTGCTCTTTCTCACTCTATCAACATCCTTAAAGGTTGGAGGTACACAGAACTATCAGTACTGACCTCTTCAGATGGTTTTGAAATCTCTCAAGCTATTCACGGAGTTTGCTGCGGACGCAACTAACCCACGTCAAGGGGGAGGATCCACCGGAAGGTGTAGAAAGGCTGGTTTATTCGACTTTTGAGTGCCGAGGACACAGCTGATGGGAGTGTGTAAAAGTGAAGTGAGATAAGAAAAGTGAGACTCAGTGGTTGGCAATTAACCAGTTGCGGGCTTCGGTGCCCACGGGAAAATTAGAGGCTATATGTAGTTAATGACGCTAGTCGTCGTGAACGCTGTTCCCCATGCTGCCTGGTGCTTGTCTGAGACACTTAGTTTTGCAACTGGGTAGCGTTTGGTATTTTCCCAATTATTAATTTCAAAGTGGTCTGCATACTTATTCTGTATGGGCAGGCATTTCAGATAGGTTGTCGCTATATTCTTCCTTGAGCCTCTTTTCAAGCCGTGGAATAGGCTACGCTACAAGCACGGGCTCTACTTGCATGCGAAGACTGCTCTGTAGGGACCGGTGGCGTTACTGAACAAATGTGCCTTTAGTTCGTTCTACACATCCTAGGTGTCTTGTGTTTTCTCGCAGTCAGTTGCTCACACATGTTAGCGCCCCGACACACGGCGAGCAGTCGCGCCACCACGGTCGTATGATTTGGTCCCTCATTCGTTGTTGACTAGTGCGCGCGCCTTTTCTTTCTTCGATCTCTCTTTTGCGGTTGACGTACACTTTGCTTTTATCATGTGCAGTGATTTTGCGTTCTTGCCCTAGTTGGTAACGACGGTAGGGCAAAAGCTTCTCCTTGATCGTGCACGCTGTTGGTCTTGACATTCAGACACAGATCACGCGTACACGTATTTCGGTTCAAGAGAAAGATATGACGTAGAGGGCTGAGCTATACTTCAGCATCTTTTATCACACTATGCATACCTAGATGACAATTGGTGACAAGTTGACCAATTGGTTTGTGCACAGGTATATCTAATCAACTGCAAAGCACTGCTTGTGTGAAATAAGGATGCGACGTGGTGTGTGCTAGGGTTATATGCTATGTGCAACCAGCTATGAACCCTCGAGGCGCCTAGAGGGTGCAGCAGCGTGCACCGAAAATGTCCCTTCTCCGCTTATGACGAGAACTGAGAGGCCCGGGTGGGGAAGGCAGCAATTTTATTGAGGCTGCCCAATAATTTAACGAGGTTGTATAGAGTCCATTACGTGTCTCCCTAGGGGCGCCTAATCTGGAGCGTTAGAGGGAACTTCTACAAAGCGTCTCTTCCTAAGAGGTCTCTCACCTCCCCCTTTTCCTGCTCTTCGCGCTACAGGGTCTAAATCTGAGGAAATAGGGAACTTCGATTTGATGGGCACATAAATCACTGTGCCTTACAAAACATACCTGGTAAGGGGGACACCAAAGTTTGAACAGTACTCATACAGGAGCGTGAGATACCCAAGCGGTAGGGAGCTCACTCACTTAATTAATAAACGAAGTGTACGAATAACAATCCCATGATGCACAAGTGAATTCATATTACATAGACCTCGTTTACAAGCCACATTTTTCGACTGTCCCTTGGCCAGCTACAAGCGCACCGGCGAGCGTGATGGGATTTAAGGTTTTCTGGGTGAGGGCAGTCTTTGACGAGATCAAGCTGCTCCCGAGAGCCCCTGGCGCTAATAACGCATGCAGGGAATGTTTGGGTCGTCAGCATATCAACACAAGTGCGCAGTAGGTGAAGTGGGGCACATGCAGGGCCCCCTGTTTGCATTGATGTACGCAACACCCAGCTCAATAGAGCACTACAAAATTGCCGCACATTGAGTCCCTCCAAAAGTGCGGCCCCCTCTTTCTGCCCTCGCCCCCCGGGTTCCTGCATGGAGGGAGGCACGGCTAGGGAGCGCGCTGTAGGACCGTCATAGCACTCTGAGAACTCACTGCAGTCGGTTGCACATATCAACCTCTAGTGCTCAAGCATAGGAGGTTGCTTCTCCTTGTACTGAGCTACAGCGACTCTGCAACAAACGAGCTATACGAGGGGCCAATCTACCCAGCTAGTTCCTTCCTAGTTCTCCTTCAGTACAACCCGTGTAGGAGAAGGTGCCATCGTGAAACTTGGCCCGTCAAAGTGCAATCTCGGAGAATCCCCCCTACCCAGCTAGCTAGAACCCCGCATGCATCACTTGGATTGTTGCCCCCCTGAGCAATGCCGTGCAGCTCAAATCCTACATGTCGTGCACTACCCCCGACTCGAAGGTGTCCATGTGCTTGCACCGCTTCTTTGAGGCGAGGCGAGAAAAGTCACCCCGGGGAGCATGAGTTCGACGAAGAATATCCAGGATAGCGGCAGCAAGAGAAGCTCTCACAGAGCTTCCCGCTCAACTGCGAAACAAAGGGGTGTTCGTGTGACACAGAATCTCTGGTGGCAGCCGGGGCCCCCCAAGGGAGCAGCGCCCCATGGGGCCTCCGATCGTGAGGGGGGCCCCCCACGCGTGGAGCTGCAGGGCCTTTGGGGCCCCCGCTCGCCCTTCCTTCATTTATTCTGCCTGAAAATGAAAAAATAGGGATAGTTTTCGACAAATTCCGTAGACACCGGCGTGTCATCTTTAAAACGCAGCAGTGGCCGCAGCAAGAGCAGCTGCGCGTCCTTCTCCCCACTGTGGGGCCCCCCCAGCCTCTGCCTTCCGTAGAGATTCTTCGGGAAGCCTCGGCGTAGCCGACGCCAGCGGCACTGGGAGCATCGATAGCAGCGGAAGCAACGGCAAAGAGAGAGGGGCAAAAGCCGCACCAACATGGAGGCTCTTGCTGCCCCTGATGAGCTCCTTACGTTCCCTGCTTCGCTGTTGGCTGTCGGCGAGAATGGCTTGCAGATTCTGTCGCTCCCGCAGCTGCAGCCGCAAGTCATGCTGCTACCAGACGTGGGCTCATACCAGGGCCCCCTGGAAGGCCCCCTTGGGGGCCCCTCCCACCAGAAGGGCCCCCCGTCCTTTGCGGCTGCAGCGGTCTGCAGCCTCGGCGCGAACAGCAGCATCTTTGTGGCGGCCCTGCAACACAAACCGACGCTTCTTTACTTCAATGTAACGAAAAATGCTGCGGTGTACAGACAGTCGACACCGACCATCGTGAGTCGCTGCGCTTGCGCGTGCCCTTGAAGCAGGATCTTCTCCTCTCGCCCTCTCGCTTCCGCTCTTGCTCTTCCTGTAAGGCTTCCTATAACAGTTCCCTTCGAACTCTCTGGACGCTGCTTCTCAGGTGCGCTGCTTGGCAGCGGACAGCAGCGGAAGCTTCCTTTTTGCAGGGGACGACGCGGGTGTCTTGACAGTTTGGCAGCTCTCTGCAGTGGTGCTGCAGCAGGGGGCCTCTGCAGCTGCTCCTAATGCCGAAGCGCCTCTGCAGCACAAGTTGACTCCCTTGATCTGCAGTTGGCAGGCTCATGACAGCGGCGTGTGCTGCATTTGCATCCACCGCAGCCTTCTTATTTCTGCGGGCCGTGATGGAAGTCTGAAAGCCTTCCAGCTAGCCGAGTAAGGACAGACTTCTGGATCCTTTCAATCTTGCATGTGAAGACGGCTTGGGGGCTTACTGACGGCTTAAACGCTTGCACAGGGGATGCAATTTCCCTCCGCATGCTTTGACATGAACCGGCAGGACTATGCGTTTTGCGTGCTTCTGTGTGTGTGAGTGTATTTATGTATGTATATGTTTGTATGTATATGTCTGTATGTATGTATGTATATGTGTCATGTGTTGCATGTATGTGTATGTCTGTATGTATGTATGTATATGTGTCATGTGTTGCATGTATGTATATGTATGTATTTGTCTGTATGTATGTATGTATGTATATGTGTCATGTGTTGCATGTATGTATATGTCTGTATGTATATGTATGTATGTGTATGTATGTATGTATGTATGTATGTATGCATGGGTCATGTGTTGCATGTATGTGTATGTCTGTATGTATGTATGTGTCATGTGTTGCATGTATGTATATGTCTGTATGTATGTATATGTGTCATGTGTTGCATGTATGTATATGTATGTATTTGTCTGTATGTATGTATGTATGTGTCATGTGTTGCACGTATGTATATGTATGTGTATGTCTGTATGTATGCATGTGTCATGTGTTGTATGTATGTATATGTCTGTATCTTTGCGAATGTATGTGTATGCGGGCGTCTATATATATGTATGTATCGTGTGTGTTGTATGCATGTACATGTGTGTATGTATATGTATGTATGCGTCACGTGTATGTATGTATCGTGTGTGTCGTGTTTTGCATGCATGTATGCGTCGTGTGCAGCGTCCTCTCTATGGGCTCAGCTTGGAAAGGAGGGGCAGCTGGAATCACTTTAAATGCATCGTCTGCTGTGGAAATGAGCGGGCTTGGCAGCGGCAGCTCTCGTAAACCTGTGCGCCGTTGGCAAGGGCATACAGAGGCTGTGTCAAGCTGCTGCTTCTTGGAGGGGCCTGCACTGCACCGAAGTGCAGGATCTTGGTTGCTTTTAACGGCAGCAGCCGACAGATCTGTACGGGTGCGTCTTCGCTGTGTCTGCTGTCTGCCAGGCCGCTGCTAGGGAACGCTAAATCTGCGCAGTGGCAGCGATGTCGTGGCGGAAAAATTAGCGCTTGACGCTTTCCGATAGATCCCTCATGTGCGCGTTGCTCGTTCTTTCTTTCTCTGTTGCCCTCTCTCGCATTCAGTCAGTCAGTCAGTCAGCCTCTTTCTCCCTCTCTTTCTATCTCTCTCTCTTTCCTTCTATATCTCTCTTTTTCTCTCTTGTAGTCAGTCAGTCTCTCTCGCTCTTTTTCCCACCCTCTCTCTCGCTCTCTCTTCGTCTCCCCTCAATGCCTCTCTGTCTACTACTTCTGCGGCTGCTGCAGGTCTATGGAGGAAATTCCGATGAGTGCTTGGAAGCATTTCGCTTGCCAGCGGCTCCGCTCTGTCTCTCAGTGGATGCGCAGGGGCCTACGGCTCTTGCTTTCGTGGGCTGTGCAGACGGCAATGTGTATATCTTAAAGATAGCTTCCGCGGCGGGCAGCAACGTTATGCAGCTCAGCAGAAGCAGAGAAAAAAATACCAGGGGAAACGAGGGAGGCGGAAGCGCTGCTCTGTTGAGAGAAATATGGGTTTGCCCTCCAAGCAGCAGCAACAGCAACAGCAGCACTAGCAGCAGCACTAGCAGCACGAGCAGCAGCAGCCGGCATGCTGCTGTATTACGTGGTCACACTGCCGCAGTGCGTGGATGTGTCAGCCTTCGAGATGGTCGAGTCGTCACCGCAGCAGCAGATGGCATTCGTCTGTGGCGGGCATCATGTGGAGTTAGTATTACGCACATCCCACCCAGACAAGGTCCATCCACTTCTGCCTCATTGTGCTGGTGCTGTTGCTGCTGGTGCTGGTGCTGCTGCTGCTGCTGCTGACAGTGGTAGTGGTGTGGTGCAGGTCTCGTTGCTGCACACTGAATGGCGCTGCATCAGAAGCGGCGAGGGTGGCTGGTGCGCCTGTACGTGTATGCCTTACCTGCTGCTGCCCAATTTTAAACTGTTGAGTGTCACTGTGTGCGATGTGCCTCTTTTCGCTTCTTCAGGCCTGGTCCTGCCTCTGGAGGGATTGCAGCTGCTGCTGCTGCAACACACGGGAACGCAGCGGCTGCTGTCTCCCCTGGGCTTACTGCGACAGCACGGGGGAGGTGGTGGCGACAACTCAGCAGCGACCGCGTTGTGTCTGCTGCAGCGGCGCGTGGAGCAGCAGCAGCTGCTGCATGCAGCCCTGCTGCAGCGGCAAGTGGCAGGAGATCGAGTGCCTCTCTTCCGCGCAGATCCTCGCAGATTCAAGAAGCACGTGCAAAGCCTACAGGTGCGATCAGGGTGGAGGGGTCTCTCTGCAGCAGCTCCCGCAGCAGCGTCACCGACGTGTATTTGGGTAGATGGGGGGAAGAGGGAGGGAAAATGCGCGTTTGCAGTGACTGCTCCAAGGAGGAGTTCGTGAGGTGACCCCACCATCGCCTTTACAGCCCTCCCTGAGCTGTTTCTTCTTTGTGGCTTCTCAGATTTACGGCCAAAAAACTAGCGACGCTCCGCTCTGCATGCAGCAGCTGCTGAAACTGTCGCAGGGCGCTGCGAGCACGCTGCAAGACGCCGTTCTGCGGCTTCTGAACAGCGCCGATACCACGGGTGCCTCGGCAGAAGGAGCCCACAAAGCGCCTTTGGCAGTAGACGCAAGAGCCGTGGATGCCGATGAGGAGTCCTCTGTCTCCTCTGAAGACAAGGCTCCAGAGGCAGTATCTGCATCAGCCCTCGCCGTTTGACGCGCCGGAAGGCCGCTTCCCGTCGGCATTGCAACACGCACATCTAGGCATCTCCCGCGGCGCTGCTGCTGCAGGAGATGCATATATATATATATATATATATATATGTATATACGTAGACACCTTAGGCAGACAGCCTTACGCTTCGTTGGGCGTATATCGTCTTCCACTCAGGGCCCCCCCCCCCCATGCGCGAAAGCCTATGTTATTCTTAGGGAAGCTCGCCTTTAGCGGCATGCAGGAACCGCAGCTCTTAAAGCCCTGTTACAACATGCCGCGTTTCTCCCCCTTCCTGCCCTCTTCCTCACTCCCCCCCATTCTACTGCGAATTAAATAGACTGCTGTTGTTGCCAAAGCCCCTCTTCCCCAGTCCCTCGCCAACTAAAAGGGGGAGGAAGGTGGCATGCGTGTCTTTGGACGTGGTTTCTGTTTGTTCCAACACGGCTGCGCCCGAGCACCCCGGCCGCAAGGAAAGAAAACATATTTGAAACAGCAGCTCTCGGGGGTTTGCCAGGATACAAGCGGTGATGGGCAGCGAGATAGACAAAGTAGCGCTCCGCTGCCTCCCGCGCAAGCGTTCCCCCACGCCACTACAGGCCGACAACGGCAGCTTCGACCGTCTCTCTCTCCTGGTGCCCTACTACTACTACGCAGCAGCAGCCACATATGTCTTCTGCTGCTGCTGCTTCCGCCTCCACCAAAGTCGGCTGCAACAGGCACAGCTGGCAGCCGAGGGGCATCCAGGGACGGCTTTTTAGCGGCAACCCGAGACTCCTAGCAGGCAGGCAGTTCCACGAGGACAAGAGAGCACCCCCAAACAAGGACGCACACAATGCTACGGCGCCAGAACACATCAATCGCAGACTGGCAAGACAGCTGCACAGGAGCCGGCGTGACGCGGAGACAGCTGGCGCTCCAAATAGTTTACACACACAGCGGGGTAGACAGGGGGGGCCGGCGGTCGGGGGGCCCCTCTAGTTCCCACCAACCATCAGTAAAAGAGGCCCCAAGAAACCTCTGCCACGCCCATGCGAAGGCTGCAACGCGGTGCAGCGGCCTCTATTCAAGGAGCAGGAAAAGGGGGGAAAGATCGGAGACAGGTGTCCCCTCTCCCCTCTCGGGGTGGTCAGGGCGCCCTTGTCCTCTCGAGGAACCATACATGCAGGAATTTCATCTCGGAAATTTACACGCTCTGCCACCACTGCCATCGTGGAAAGCCTCAAAGGGGCAGAGCGACGGCCGCACTGGGAGACAAGCGCCGCAAGACCGCATCTTAACGCATTTGCTGCTGCGCAGCCCACAAGGCAGCACCTTCTGGCTGCTGCTGCTGCATGCCGTACAACATTTGCTGCGGATAATGCTGCTGCTGCGCGCCACTGCTGTAGTGCTGCTGCTGCGCGCCACTGCTGTAGTGCTGCTGCTGCGCGCCACTGTTGTAGTGCTGCTGCTGCGCGTCACTGTTGTAGTGCTGCTGCTGTTCTGCGAAGAGCTGCGGGGTGGGCTTTTGTAAGTACTGCTGCTGCTGCTGCACTTGCTGTTGGGGGTGCATGTTGTTGTCGCCATAGTGCTGCGGCTGCTGCGCTGCCTGACCAAGCGGCTGATCCGACCATCCCATGAACTGCTGCGGTGGCAAGTGCTGCTGCAGCTGCCGTCCCCCACTACGCTGCTGCGGCTGCTCCGGCTGGGGGCCCCTGCGACGATCCCCGAAAAAGCCCCTGCTGCCCTCACGGGGGCCCTCCCAGAAATCATCAGCCCACCCCCTTTTGAGGGCCCCTACACCACCAGAAACATTCTGGGGAGGATATTGCTGCTGTGCCTGCTGCTGCTCCTGAGGCCAACAACCCTGCTGTGGCTGGGGTTGTTGCTGCTGCGCTTGCTGCTGCTGCACCTGCTCGTGCCACTGCTGCTGTGGCTGCTGTTCATAATACTGCTGCTGCTGCTCCTTCCATTGCAGTTGCTGTTGCTGTTGCAGCTGTTGCTGTTGCAGCTGTTGTTGTTGCAGCTGTTGTTGTTGCAGCTGTTGTTGTTGCAGTTGTTGCTGTTGCAGTTGTTGCTGTTGCAGCTGTTGCTGTTGCAGTTGTTGCTGTTGCAGCTGTTGCTGTTGCAGCTGTTGTTGTTGCAGCTGTTGTTGCTCCTGATGTTTCCATTGGCTTTGCTGTTGAGACCAGTGTTGCCGCTGCTCCTGGGGCCATTGCTGCTGCTGCTGCCACTGTTGCTGTTGCTGCTGCTGCCACTGCTGCTGCCGTGGCTGCTGTGGCTGTTGCCACTGTTGCTGTTGCTGCTGCTGCCACTGCTGCTGCTGCGGCTGCTGGTGCAGTCCCAGGGGCCCCTCCTCAAGCGGCACGCTGGCAGCGCCTTGCGGATTCCACAGAGGCTGATCCTGCCTTCCGTGAGCCTTCCCTTCGAACGGACTTGGAGCAGCCTGATGGAGTAACTCTGTCTCTCGCCGTGTCGCACTGGGCTGCTGCCCGCCGTGGGGCCCCCAAGCCTGGGGGGCCCCCACGGGGGCGGCGGGGTGGGGGCCCCGACCTGGCTGCTGCTGGGGAGGCAGAGGCGACTCGTACACCTCGTGCGCTGTCAGTCCACCAACAAGGTGCGTCCTCGCTGCTGCTTGCGCATGCCCTCCCTGCTGCCAGCTGCCACCAGAGGCCTCTTCCCGCGGGGAGAGGACGGATCTCCTAGGGATTATGCCTGGAGGAGGCATGTGTCGCAGAGTACCCGCCCTCTGTTGCCTGCAGTCAAGCGGAAATCCTCGCACCCGCACCAGCAGCATTCGGCGCGCGCGGCACGGCATGCCCCCGTTCGAAATAGCCTCTACGCACCGTCGCTCCCTCCCTGCTCGCAGCCGACAGCTTTCTGCCGAAGGCGCACAGACAGCGACAGCCCAAAAGGTGACACAGCAACTCCAAAGGGCCCTCGACTTACCCGCCACGTGAAGGCGGCGGAGGGGGAAGCGCCTGTGCATGCTCTGGAGCGGACTGCATGCCCCCCCCTTGCGCAACCCTCAGGGGGGCCTCGCAATGAGGCGCAGGCTTCGAACGCATGCTGCCTTGAGGAAGAGCTGCCGCGTCTGCGGATCGATGTCTCTTGGAGGGGGGCACCTGTGGCACGGCTAATGCAGGGGCCCCCAGGGCCCCCGGTAAAAGCAGCGGGAGCAGAGGGGCCCCTGGGGGAGGCGCCAGACAGAGGTGGGAGAACAGAAGGTGGGCTGCCACATGACGCCCCTCAGGTTTGGCGTTGAGGAAGGTTATCATGCACTCTGGAGGGCTCATGTGAATACGCTTCCTACGTCGCAACAAGGCGACGCAGCAGAACCAACAAAACATGCCCAAACGGAGGAAAGAGACGCGGGGAAGCACCAATATCAACAGACGCCTCCTGTCATGCGGCAGCAGAGAGGAGGACCGCCAAGCCAAAGTCTGACTCTTGAAGCACAGTACACAGCGGAGCAGCGCGGTGCAAATGCAGTGCGCAAGAAGAGACAAACCTATATACGTCTACATATGTTTGTCTCCAACCAATGGGAGCCGATAAAATAGGGCGGTGCTCCACACATGCGACGCGAGACGTGTAAAAAAAGGAGGCAGCATGCGTGACAGTGCAGCGAGAGGCAGCATGCGTAACAGTGCAGCAGGAGGCGGCATGCGTAACAGTGCAGCAGGAGGCAGCATGCGTAACAGTGCAGCAGGAGGCGGCATGCGTAACAGTGCAGCAGGAGGCAGCATGCGTAACAGTGCAGCAGGAGGCGGCACGCGTAACAGTGCAGCTGGAGGCAGCATGCGTAACAGTGCAGCTGGAGGCAGCATGCGTAAATAACAGGTCAGAAGACAGCAAGCACAGCAACAGCGCAAGAGGCAACGGCACCCAAGGACAGAAGGGAAAAGCGGGGGGGAGGGAGAAGGGCAGAAGCGCCTCGTGAAGCCTCACAACTCCCCTTCGATGAGACACAGGGTTCCTGTTTCCAGCGAGATATCCCTCAGCAAGCGATGCACCACCAGTCCACGGCCCCACAGGGCAGCAGACGGTACAGACAGCTGCAGCGCGTCCTCCCTACAAGGCAAGGGGCAAGAGCGCAAAGTGAAGACTCACAGCACACAGCTGAGAGGCGGAGCAAGAGCAGATCGGCAGAGAGCGGGGGGAGGGGAGCGAGCATGCACACACAGAGGCAGGCGGGAAGAAAAACCCGGAGCTACTCAAGGGCAGAGGCGAAGAAGCTGTTGGTTTGCAGCACTCCTGCTGGTGTGGCTTCTCGCGCGAACCTCCTAAAGCGCCTCACTGACGCAGAATTTTTGTGAGGCTGCGCAACGAATTCTACACTCTCGTGTGGTCGTCTCGTCGCCTGCGCGTGGCGTACCTCTCCGTGAGACTCGGCATTTTCAGACCCTTTTCGGCCCGCAAGAGCAGCCGCAAGAAGTCTCTCAGCCTTCTCCTGTCTCGCAGCGATCCGCCCACCACGGCGTAGGGGCCCCAAAACTCGATGGGGGCCCCCGCTGCTCGCGTCAGTCTCCGCTTCACTGCGCCTTCCTTGAGCCCCGGACGGACTGCAGGGGCCCCAGGGGCCCCCTGCGATCCCAAGGCGATTCCCCCCGGCAGGCGGAGGAAGCTGACGAGCAGCGGATCACGACTCTCATGCAGCAGCACCAGCTGCCGCGGCTGCTGCGGCCGAAGCGCATTTGCAGCAGCAGGCAGGCTGCCGGCATCGGCGCTCTTGTTGGCAGCGCTGCTGGTGCTGCTGGCAGAGCCTGGCTGGAGCCTTGCCGGGTGAAAAAACGGTCTGAAAGAGCGGTGCTGAACCTCCTCCAGACTGCACTGCAGGAGGAACGCGAATTCGGGGGGAGGGCCCTTCCGCGCTTCGCTGCTTCTCCCGTCCTTCGAAACGCCCTCCTCCGACTGCCGCTGGAGCTGCGAAGGTGCCGCCGCCGCTGCCGCTGCTGCGGCTTCCAAGCACTCGCCGAGCGGCTTGCTGTACAGTCCTTCTTCTTGCATCTCTAGGGTGTTCA